CTCACTTCTAATCCCGCCTGGTGCTTTGTGCATTGCATAAGAGCGTACCAGGACAAAAGCCCCCAGGTGCACTTGGGAAATGTAGCTTCCTGCTGCTTAAAAATTAAAAGGCCAAACATTCCACTGACACTTTGCATCTTCTTGTAAGTTACCAACAGGTGAAGAGCTAAATTGATGCCCTAAATGTGTGAAAGATAACCTAGACAGCAAAAGCAACAAGGACACATTTTTAAACAGCAAATATAAAATACTCTTGTTCTTACCATAGCATGCTGTGCATTTATTTCCATTTTTCCCCATACCACAAAATTGACTGAGGGGTTTTTAAAAGTCTTTTGCAGATCTCCAGCACAAACCATTGCTTGTTGACCTCACAGTAGAAGAAGGTCAGAGGTTAAAAGTCATCTTTGGATCGCACACTGGTTTCCATGTTATCGATGTGGATTCGGGGAATTCATATGATATCTATATACCATCTCATGTGAGTCTGAGGCAGCATGGTGGTGCTCTGCAAACTTGATTATACAGTATGTATAATGTCTATTGAAACAGGGTCCTTGTTAAATTTCCTTTTTGGTGGGCACACCATAATGCGTAATTTGGTGAGTTTCTCGCATTGCTGAGGAGAAGGCTGCTATGCCATGAGTTGTCCAGGAACCCGCATGTTGTATGGGCTAAATCTGTTTATGGGTTGGTGGCAAACATTGGTTTGACAGTTTTCTGAGAGAAGTTGGCAAATGCTGGAGAGAGCTGGTCTTTCTTTGTTGTCCTGTAAACTTGATTTAATGCTGCTTTTGGGGGGTTCTGTCCTGTATGCAGATTCAGGGCAATATCACACCTCACGCCATTGTCATCTTGCCCAAAACGGATGGAATGGAGATGCTTGTGTGCTATGAGGACGAAGGAGTGTACGTTAATACCTATGGACGCATAACGAAAGACGTGGTACTCCAGTGGGGAGAAATGCCCACTTCAGTGGGTATGTCAGTTCTTCCTCTTCTCCTTAGCTGTCAATAAATTCAGTGTGAAGTGAGAATCCTAAGCTGCAGTTGGCTATTTTCCTAGATAATGTAGTCCTCTGCATTTCCTGTGATGAAACCATCTGTGGCTTGAGACTCCAGCCTTAGGACATAATCTTTTAGACATGGTAACTTCCTGCCAGGTGTGGCACGTGGTAAAAGCTGCCTTGGCCCAAATGTTTTCAGTAAGAACAGGCTTGTTTTCTTTCAGCCTACATCCACTCCAATCAAATAATGGGCTGGGGCGAGAAAGCGATTGAGATACGATCGGTGGAGACTGGGCATTTGGATGGAGTATTCATGCACAAGCGTGCTCAGCGGTTAAAATTTCTATGTGAAAGAAACGATAAGGTAGGTCTGCTCTCAGAGCTGCACAGAGAATGATCTGGAAACAACTGATGGGAGAGCATTTGATGCCCCTTGTAAAAGCAATGTGGTCAAGCCATTAATAATGCTTTTAACACCTGCTCTGAGACCAAAAAAAACCCACCAAGATAAGATGTGACATAACAAATAAGCAAAATGTGTGAATGAATGAGGAAATTAAGCACATCCCATTTACAAGTTCATATGATGATTTTACAGTTTAATAGATCAGGTTGTTTCCTTCCCAAACAGGTATTTTTCGCCTCGGTGAGATCTGGAGGAAGTAGTCAAGTTTTTTTCATGACACTCAACAGAAATTCCATGATGAACTGGTAACAAAAGGGCCCTCGGGTGCTGACTTTGACACCAAGTTTTTTTAAGTTTGAAGAGCATTGGAACGTGTGGACTAACACTGTAGAGGCAGGTGAAGAAGATAATTGTGGAACACGTTGCTTCCTTCTGTGAACACACTCGCACTCACGCAGACATGCTCCAAGAATACGACACACCTTTCTTGTTGTGGTTTAGGAATGGAGGTCTACTCAAGGTCACAAGAATGCAACACGGTATTTGGGCAGAGATGGACAAATGCACAAGAGGTTTAGCAGAATAAATCTCTTGGAAGTCTTCAGTTGAAACTGTGATAGAGCTGTGGGTCACACAATTTCATTTTGTTTTTTAAACATTTTCCTTGTCCCTCTATTTGTACAAATGGGGACAGATCTAAGTGTCAAGCAGAGTCTCTGTTTTTAATTTTGTCTGCCTGCTAGCATCAAATATATAGTATGTTGTAAGGTTACCAATTAAAACTGGTGAGAGACAGCACAATAAATGTATCATTTTATCTTTGTGTTGGGAGGCTTTAACCATAGAGATGGTTAACTTTTGTAAAACCTTTTGCCTTTTCCAACATTTCTGTGTTAGTTTTGCAAACAGGTTGACAAATTTCAAACGAGAGAATGAATTAGATCTCCCCCCCCCCCCCGAACCCTTCCTTTTGGGAAATCTATTCTAAATGGCTAACCGACTAGCCTTAGATTATTATACAGTCAAGGTACAAGTATATTTTTCTTGTCAACCTGTCAGTCTATACTACAGTATGGATCTTCATATAATGGTGCTCATTGAGAGAAAAAGCAGTGCCATCCTTGGCAGTCATTCCCAACTTTGGCCTTAGCATTTTATTGCCTTTCTCTAAAGCTGTAATGCGGAAAGTCTCACAATAAAATTGCAGGTTGAGAAACGAATTGAACTAGAGCAAGATTCTGAAGATTGGCTGGAAAGTGTACCTAACTGCATCCAACTTGAATGCATTGAGCCTAGGTCCAACCTACTCTGTACAGTTGTACTTTGCTTTTCGGGGAAGGGGCGGGGATGATCCTTGTAGATACTGGTGTGTGTTTTTTCCCTTCATGAAAATCTCCAGGAGCCAACAGTATTTAATCCTTTGGAAGACGGAAGCCCCAATTGTTGATGGACATTCGCCCACTTCCTTGTCTGATGGTGTCCTGTTTTCCGAATATGAAAAAACTTCATGAGATCTTCATCCCGTGGTGCAAAGAATAGGAACATTGCAAAAGTGTGAGATAGCAGATTGGAAGGACAGTTTTGTTGGCCTAGAACCTGACACTTAGATTCATCTTTCTGCCCATCCCTCTTTGCTGCCCACCTATATAGTGAACACCAATATGTGTGCAGATGTATGTATTTAGTTGGGGTTAACCTGTGTCCTTATATGCTTTGTTTGAATTATTTCCAGTTTTAAGGAAGTTATGTGCAACATTTCTACTACCGCCAAGCATGGATTCCCCATTAGTCTATGGATGTAACATAATTGGATCTGTGTTGCTGTTTTTAACCTACCTCATTTTATTTTTGTTTCAATTAGCTTTTCCTCATTAGCTCCAGCAGACACCCAGGGAGTTTGACTGGCCAGCTTCAAAGTATTAAACAAGAACAGTGTCTTAAGTAATTAGCAGTGTTTGGCCAGTTCAGGCCTCTTTAAAAAAGCAGAAACGGACTCTCACGCTGCCTTCTTCCAGTTTTTCCGTCAGTGGTTCCACAGTTCCCGTTGTACAGGCCAGTCGATACTGCCAATGGCCACAATATGCATTGGCTGTCAGCAGATTTGTAATAGGGTTAGAATCATGCCAATGTATGGCTGGCATGAACCAGAGCCATGTTGCGGAAGCCGCCATAATTCGCCCAATCGCAGTGGCTCAGAAAGAGTCGCTATAACTGTGCCAATCCCAGGGGCTGTGTGTACAGCCCCCACATGGAGACATGATCCCAGCTGACTTGCCACAATCTTCCTTCTTTGTGTGTTCAACCTGAAGGGAGCCTGCATTGGTCCCCTACCCCATGCCCTACCTCACTACTTAATGATACACTGGTGTATCAGGCTAAGTTTGCTTCTCCATAGGAGTTGAGCCCAGTTGGAGTCCTGCTATGATGCAGCTATCCAAGACTGCCTGCTTGAACAGTGCACCCTTGTCTTGCTTCTTACGCCAATTTCCCTTTAAGATCTCCTTGTGTTTGGTGTCTCTCCCCAAAAAGAAATGGGGCAGGGAGAATCATTGGCATCCATCCTTTTAGACAGATATCGTTTTTGTTTCAAGCCCAGGAGTGAGGCTGCTAAGCTGGTTCCAGCCACTTGCTCCCCACTACATTCACAAAAGGGGTAATAATTAAGAGTTGTCTCCAAAGCTGTTCCTACACAGAGTAGACCCATTAAATTTAATAGACATGGCTAACTTCAGTCCATTAATTTCAGTGGGTCTGCTCTGCGTAAAACTTAGTTGGATGCAACCAACTGGATTTTTATTTTTGCTTTTTTAAAAAAAAATATGATATTTATTAAAGTTTCACAAAGAAAGAATCACATCAACATATGTTGATGTGATTCTTTATTTTTGCTTTTGGACTCTGCAGCCCTCTTACATTAACCTCTAAACAACAAATTACTAATTTACAGTCTAAGTAAATATTTCCATTAGCTAACTTAATAAGCCTAATCTATGCATAATGAAAATGAGTAACCTCAAACAATACACTTTGACCCCATTGTTTTTTCAAAGCCTTCCCTTCCAACACAGACAAGCGTTCATCCCGTGGTCTCGCTTGCTGCTCTTGCAATGCAAGTGGCCTATTTTCAGCACCTTCCCTCCTGATAAAGCTTTTACCAAATGAATTGATGGCTGAATATTAGTTGATTCTGTTCACAACACTGGGATTTATGCAGACCCCACCAGAAGGCTAGTGCAGAGAATTGCAACACTGGGCACATAATTGTTTATGTTGCCATCTTACTGACTCCTTTACATAGGTTAACAAGAACACAACCGGGTGACAGTTTAATTATTTGAGCTCTGAACTTTAACCAGTCTTTTTTCTCCAGTTCCTACTCCCAGCACATATGAAAGAAAATATTCTAGTTCTTTCCACATTTCTAGTATCCCAGTGAGTAATTCGTATTAATCCTTTGTATTCTGACAGGTCATGTACCATCTGCCCATCAATTCATAACAATTTTCTCTTACTGTCGTTGTCAATGAAAATCTATGTGTGTTTTTTGCCAATTAAATTTTTTATTGACTTTCACCATTTTGTTTAACAAACTGACATCAAACTTAGCATCAAATTTAATACACTTTTAAAAGTTGACTCCCCACCCTTCTTCCATGGTGTTTTTATTCTCAACCTTTTATGCTGCTTTATACTTTTATCTATTCCACAATTCTTTCATTACAATTAGAATTAATTTTCTTCCGCAGCTCATATTTCAGTCCTGCCCGCGATTCCATTTAACGTGATATTTTCCAAATTGTCCAAATAAGGGTCTCATTCTTCCATGTGAAATTCACCACTTGATCTCTTCTCTTGCTCTCACCTTTGCCATTTCCACATAGCCCATTGTTTTCCAAAGGTATTCCCAGACTTCCAGTGGAATATTCTCTCCAATGTTTTGTTTCTCTTTTATCAGGTAATCCTTGATCATTTTGCTTCCCCTTTTCTGAACCCTGTTGGAGGTACAGTATCCTTTTAGAGACTAGGCATGCAGAACTGTACACAGTATTGCAGCTGTGCTGACACAATCAATTTTTATCACAGCCTTATGATAGTGGCAGTTTAATTTTCAATTCTTTTCCCCATTAGCGTGTGTGTGAAGTTAGGCTTCGTTTTGCCCTGATCTACATTTGGTGTACACTGAATCATATTGTCCAGTTTACTGCCCATTCACTCACTTTGGAGCGCCTCACAATCCCTTGAACATGCCACTCCTTATTTTCCCTGCAGTCATGAACGCACAGAAGAGGAGCAGCGCCATGTGTTGACTGTGCCCCTCTAGGCCAAGGTCTGCAGGGGGAACTGCCTTGTGGCAGGAGTTGCATGAAGTAGACCAGGCTCCTTTTCAGACCTTTGCAAGATGATTGGAGGTCAGAGGGCCATAGCTGGCCACTGGAATGGTGGGAACATGCATTGTCAGGGGCCTCCTGATCTCCCTCCACACAGAGTTCTAGATATATTCTAGCACAAGAACCTCAGAATTGACAAAAGCCAGGTGTGTCCATAAACTAGACAATGAAACCAGCAAAGGTGATGGTGGTGGGAACCCTCGAGACATCTGTCACTACAGCGTAATATATTTCAAGATTTGTATGCCGCTTAGTCATCAAAACCTTTTAAGTGGTATACATGAAACAATATGAGATATACATTTAAAATACCTATTAAATTGGATGCTAAAAGCAAGTTGTTCAAAATGTAAGTAAGCAAATAAATACATTAAAAAATAAAACAACATGTCAAAATCACATGTTTGGATAGGCTTGCCCTAACAAACATGTTTTTAGGGAGTGCCAGAAACAGGCACCTGCCTAATAACATCAGTGAACAGGAAATGCCATAGCATATTGGAAACATTGATCCCTTGTAAGTGCAAATCAAACATTATGTGACACTTATCAAAGTACCAGATATGCAGATCAAAGCTGTCTAGTGGGCATATATGGGGTAAGGGGATCCTTCAAATTTTGATTTATTTATTTTCTGGAGGCAATTCTATACCTTAGTTAAACTGATAGAGCAGAGTTTGGCAATATGCCCAAGCTTTTATGCACATTTCAAACCAAGAGTTACTACTGAAGTATCAGAATCCTCTCACATCTTACTAGTCCAGAACAATGGATCATCTATCTTGGTAACAACAATAACAACAACATGGCAGCTACTGGTCAAAATGAGATGCTTTCAGAGAAAGTGCTCTGCGTGATCTGTCCTTTTCTTGTTCATTATCAACTTAACTTATTTTAATTATTAATGCATAAAATTCTGTAGCGCCAAAGGGAAAGAAATCTTTTCAAAGCTGTGCACATAAAATTGAAACTTAAAAACATAAAAAGGCAAAGATCAGAAGAACATAAAAACTGGGTCACATGGCCGGGTAAGCTTGTGTAAAAAATTATAATAACAAGCTGGCATCTAAGGCTAAACACGGGATTGCTGTCTAATACACAAATGCAATGCATTCCACCGGTGGGTTTTTCCTAGAAAAATAGGTGCCAGGACTGACCAGGAAGTTGTTACAGTAAGTGTCACACTTTTTTACAACAAAAAACAATGTACCTTTCAGTACCCCCTGGAAAAAAGCACTGCGTTCCACAATATAGGCCTTACTGCTCCTTGTGGCTGCCACGGTGGACAGTTAGCAAGGCTTCTCCAGCAGATCTCAAAGAATGGTCTGGGGTGTATGGAGAAAGGCAATCTTTGAGGTAGGCTATTCCCATATTTTAGGGCTTTATGTGCGAACAGCAACACCTTATGTTTGGCCTGGTAGCATATTGACTTACAGCAGTCCAAGGTTCCTTGACATTTTGAGACTTGAGGATATCTTTTTTCTGAGCACCAAGAGCCATGGATAGATCGCTCCTATGGGAATGTCTTAAGGCTTGAAACCCTTCTTTTTCTCCCCCAAAACACCATTGGCCTTTCACAACATTCCATGCAAAATAAGTTCCAACCAATGAAGCTACAACGCCTGGGCAAAAACTCTTTGACTTGGGTCAGTTTTAAACTACTGCCTCTTCAGCCGGCTTCTTCTGTTCCCTATATGCTCCTTGTGTTTCTTCCTACTGCTGTAATGAGAGGACCACATGGGGGGACGGGACCCACATCTATTCAGTACATCAAACTGAGCAATAACATTTCCAACTCAGTCAAGCCACTACTTGTAACTGCTGGGGACTGGTAGGATGAGAAAGAACAAGCTTCATGGCTAATGGCAGCTGCCACCAGCTCTTTTATGTCTTTGCTGTGGTTACCTTTTAAACCGGAAGCTTCTTATTAAATTATGTTGAAAACTTGAACCGCCTGCCTGTTATATATTTCTTTCTTTCCTTAATTGGTGAGTTTCAAATACACCATTTTAAATAACTTTTGATGGGAACCTTTAGGTTGATCGCAACCATCTGTTTTTATACAATTTGTAGAATTTCTCTGAGGAGAACAGAAGCTTAAATGTTCTTTTTCTGTGTTCCGCTTGCAAAAGTCGTAACTTTGTGATACAGAGGGCAGGGATGGGGAGAAATTCGATTCCGTTTCCACTTAAAAGCCAAACCTCCCTAATTCTGTCTTCCGGAAACAACACACAAAACTAAAAGCAGCCATTCTTCAAAATTCACTCTTTAAATTTTTCAATGCAATTCTCCAATCAAGCAATGTACAGTGGTACCTCTGGTTAATTCATTCCAGAGGTCCGTTCTTAATCTGAAACCGTTCTTAACCTGAGGTACCACTTTAGTTAATGGGGCCTCCCACTGCCGCCGCATGATTTCTGTTCTCATCCTGAGGTAAAGTTCTTAACCCGAGATAATACTTCCGGGTTAGCGGAGTTTGTAACCCGAGGTACCACTGTATACAAAAATGTATAGGTTAGTGAAAATAGCATACAGAATGCATTGAATTGTCAAAAAATGTGTTTGGCATATGGAAGAAGTGTATTAGGAGATAATTCGCACTCAAATGCTGACAAATTTTCATGGGGCCTTTTTTTTGGGTGGGGGAATCCACAGTGATGTGGAAATCTGGAGAACTGAACATAAGATTGGAAAAATGAGAAACTGGTGGCTCATCCACTTTCTCTCGTCCTGCTGCTTCTCCCCAGGAAAACTGCTCTTTAGCACTCAGTTGGAGCAGCAAACAGCAATTTGGATTTTCTCTGGATTTACATTTGCTCTGATTCGTCCCTAAAGAGTGGGTTTTCCCTGAGAAAGGAGCGGGGCAAGGGGGAATCCGCTCAGACCCTTGCCTAGAAAGAAGCACAAGGCAAGCAGGAAACCATGGACCCATGCTTTCTAGGCGTAAGACCAGTGGAAGAGTAGACGAGCCCCGAGAGAAACCATCACTAATGGAGACTCAGACTTGCCCATTACGTGAGTCACTGGTATCATCTCACAGGCTAAATTGAGAGAATGGGCAGTCATGGTTAACATCCTCTCTCATTGACAAAGTAGACTAGAACTGCCTGTTAGGAGCTCCTCAGTAGAACTGAACCATCTTCCCTTCTATCTCTTCGCCATGCAGGGGAACCTGTGTCCCTCCAGTTCTTGTTGCACTACAACGCTCCTCAGTCTCAAAATGGGCATGGATGACAGGAGTTGTAGTCCAGCAACACAAGCTCCTCATCCCTGTTGTAACAGTACGGGGGGGGGGGGGGACAGGTGCCAACAGGCTCTTCAAGCAACTCTCTGTCTCCAACATTCCCGCTGGTGAGCCCTCTATGAAGTCTGGGCAGTCGTGATGGGGACTGCTATACACAGGTAGGAACTTCCGCATGGCCATACGCAGTGAGCACATGGGGTTGGGTTGGAGTTTCTCTTTCCCCACAATCCAATAACGTGGAGCAGGAGTGGGGGCTATTGCAACACCCATCATACCATAGGTAATGTAGTTTGGGGCGTTGACAGTCGTTTTACCAAACGGAGCATGTGGCTCAAAGGCAGCAGCAACTGGGGATCGACTCGCCATGCAAGTTACATAGAGAGATGCATTATACAAAGTCAGGCCATTGGTCCATTTAGTGCAGTGCTGTCTACCCTGACTGACAGAAGATTTCAGACCGGCCTCTCCCAAACTTACCTGAAGATGCCAGGTATTGAAGCTGGAACCTTCTGCATGCAAAGGAGCTGCTGGACCACAAAACTATCGCCCTTTTCCAGTTGAAACAACAGGAATTGCATTGTTGCTTTCAGCACCGCCGCTGCTGCACAGGAACATCAGCTCTCAGCAGCTAAGGGAAAGGCCAAAATGCCTCTCCCAAGGGTCAGCCATTGCTGCTGGTGCTGTCGGCAGGGAAGGGGGCAACTACTGCCATTTGAGGAAGGGCAGAGACCAGCTCTCCATTGGCCGTGCCTTAAGGAACATTTGATTCACACCATGTTTTATGATTCCTGCAAGATCCACAAAAGTAGCTCACAGGACAAGATTTTACAGAGATACACCCACGTGCACCCATACGCATGGTTTGCTTTTCCTTTAGATTATCATGAGTTATGATAACGTCCTTATTCCCATTACGGTTTTAGGAATGACAAGATGATCTGCAATTATGTGAATAACGGAACTGCAGCTATATTGTAAAGCGGAGGGAGTACGACAAAAATAGGAAGCACGCAATGACTGCACAACTCGGACGGTAATCTCATTGCCCCCAAATCATCTCTTGTCTTATCTAACATAAGGGGACGCTGAGGGGCTGAGGAGCTTAGGTGGCTGTTTAGATGCTTTCCATTAAAGGGTTTTCAAGCTGTGTTTCTGAGCATCCTGGCTTACTTAGAAGCTGATCAGGGGCTTATCAGTGAGAGCACAGACAAGCTTTCCTGAGAAACTATCCAGCACTAACCACTGAAATATTATGGTGGATCCCTGTATGCAATTCAAAATAAAAGCAATACTAATCCACAGAGGTTAGCCTGTGGTTTGTACATTGTGGGGGAGAACGTCGTTGGTGCAGATACAGTTCACAAGATTTATCCCTGGGCTAGGCAAGCGAATTGGATCTGTCATAAACTCTGCAGGACTAACAGGTTCCCATCTGTTCATTGGAGCAAGCTGTAAAAAGGTAAAGGGACCCCTGACCATTAGGTCCAGTCGTGACGGACTCTGGGGTTGTGGCACTCATCTCGCTTTATTGGCCAAGGGAGCCGGCATTCAGCTTCCGGGTCATGTGGCCAGCATGACTAAGCCGCTTCTGGCGAACCAGAGCAGCGCACGGAAACGCCGTTTACCTTCCTGCCGGAGCAGTACCTAGTTATCTACTTGCACTTTGACGTGCTTTCGAACTGCTAGGTTGGCAGGAGCAAGGACCGAGCAACGGGAGCTCACCCCGTCGTGGGGATTCGAACTGCCGACCTTCTGATTGTCAAGTCCTAGGCTCTGGTTTAACCCACAGTGCCACCCACGTCCCTCGGAGCAAACTGTAGGCCCCTTCAAATGCCAAACGGGCAGAAGCTGCACTGTGGTTACTTCTCATGCCACCATCACTCCCAGGAAGGCATGGGAAGAAGACGCAACAATGGAAGGCCTCCAAAATCCAATAGGAGAGAGACACTACTGCACACTGATGTCATGAAAAGCAGGGCCCCTGTCCTAGTGACATACCCAAAATACAAACCCTGGGTGGGAACGGGGGGACTTGGTTTCTCTTACACTTGTGGAACATATTCCGGTGGAAGAAGACAATGCTATTTTCTCTTCTGCAACATGAAGCAACACCTGATAGCAGCAGTTTTCTTCACAGCAAGTGGGGACATGCTCTAAAAATACCACGCTTCACACAGTTAATTTAGGTTTCCCGGTTGCAAAGCAGAGTGCTAGATGCAATTAACGTGTTTAGTAGTGGGAAGGGGCTCTTTATCTTTCTTTCCCCCTTTTCGCTTTGTTAAATGGTGCCTATATTTGGGGAATTTGTTTCGCCTTTCCCCTCTTCTAGCATCTGAAATGTAAAAAAAAACAATTGCTAGTATCAGATTCAAAGGTATTTAGCTTCTGAAGCCAGTGGTGTAAGCGGTTAGGGTCAGGCTAGGATGGGGGAGGACTGGATTCCACACCCAAACACCCACACACACACCCCGTCATGTACCCCACTTGTGACCTGCTTGTGAGTTCCAGCGACTGGAACTGAGAAGCATGTGGGAGGTGTTAACAGAGAAATCTGAGGGCTCCCTTGGACAAAACAACAAGGACACCAGCCAGGAATACCAGAGCAAAACAGCTTGGTCTTTATTGAAGACTGTCGCGACAGGACTCCCACCTGCCACAAGGTGGAACAAGATGGAAGCCCCGAACAAAAGAGAACCCAGAAGAACAAAGATTAGCTGCTAATCCCCATGTTACACCCCCCCCCAAAACTACATCACGGTTACATCATGAAAGGAGAGGTCTGGTGGCAGTAATGTGAGCATCCTGGCCCCTGCCCCATGGTTCTCCTTGCCCTCCACCAAACGTCCATCAAGTGTAACAAAAAAAAATTTACATTTCCCTGTTTCCCAGCCAAGTTAATCACACCCTTTTGTCTTCATCTGTGAAATATACTCAGAGTCGCAAAGTGATTTCATGCTCTTTATTCAGCTCATAGTGGTGAGGAGGAATGAATGAATGTCCCCTCACAGTATCTGCTTTATATACATTATTTACACAATGGGCTGCACATGATTGGCTAATTCTGGAATTCTACTGTAAGCCAATCAGGTTGTGGATTCACTTCTATCTGGAGCAGGATTGGGTGGTTCCTGCCAACCAATCATACTGCTGCATTGTTCTAGGACCAATCAGACTGCTGCATTCTGAATCCTATTGTTCTAGGACCAATCAGACTGCTGCCTTTTGGATCCTATTGTTCTAGGACCAATCAGACTGCTGCAGTTTGGATCCTATTCAACTCAGTACATAACACCCCTCCCCTCTAAGTTCCAGTCCTGCCCGGGAGGTCGCATTCATAGTCCTCAAGGTATGCCGGCGGCCTACGTGTGCGTTGTGGCCTGGGGTGTTCCCTGGTCCGGGCTCCAGGTTCTGGCTCGTGTTCCAAGGATGCTGGCTGTGATGGGGCTGTTTGGTCTGGTGCAACCGGCTCGCTCAGTCGTGGTTCTGGTTCCGGTGTCCTTTCGGCCTCACGGGTCCTCTCTGTATTTACTGATTCTGCCTCTCCTGCTGGCCCCTCCTGCTCTATGGGCCTCACTGCCCCGCTGTTCCCTTGGGACTCCTCTGACCTGTCCTCCTCCTGGTTTTCTCCCGGGAATCGTCGCCGTATCTGGTCGCAGTGGCGGCGCCAGCATTGCCCCCATCCGTTAGCACCTCGTACGACACGGGGCCAGTGACCCTGGTGACTGTGGCGGGTACCCATGCTGGGCCTGCCCCAAAATTCTTTGCGTACACTGGGTCCTGG